GGATGAGCATGGAGCTAGAATGACAGTGGCGAGACTGGTGAGAGGATGGCAGAGAGGTCATCCTCACCCCAGGTGACCACAGACGGCGTGGACACTCACAAACACGATGGCTCTGACGCCGGCCCTGGAGAACTGTGAGGCCTGTGGCAGAGACAGGCACAAGCTGTGGGATGGTGGAGGGGTCAGGAGGGGAAAGGCTGGGGAAGGAGCTGGCACATGGGCACCCGAGCAGACGCTACTTCGGAATCAGAGCGCAGAGGATCACACGCTTGGCCCAGGGAGATGCTGGAGTGTGCTGGCTGAATGAGAGCTGGGATGCACGGGGCACAGTCGTGGCAGACTGACCCCACGCTTCCCATGTCCGAGGTATCTGTGACATACAGGTTACCTTCCAGGAGTGCCTCCTCTCACTCGGGTCCGTGCAGACCCTGGGTCAGTCAGCGTTCTGGGTGGCCCTGGCACAGCTCTGAAAGTCCTGTCAAAAAGTCCAAAGAGGAGATTTGTTAAATAATCAGAATTCAGGGGTACAGCTCTCTGAAGCTAGCCACAGCCTTCAGCACGAGTTCAATCCCGGGCTGGGGAGGTGACCTACATGGCACAGCAGACCTCTCCTGTCTCGCCCGATGCTCCCCTCAGCAGTGTATTTCAGTTACTCTGCCTGTTCTGTTCCTCACTCTGTCTCTGGTGAATCCTCTCTCCACCTCTGTGCCCCACCCATACATCATAAATCTTAAAAACAAAATAGATACACCCTATGGCCCAATAATCCTGCTTCTGGGTAGTACCTGAAGAACATGCAAACTAACCTGAAAAGTTATTTCAACTAACTTGAAATGTTTATTGTGGCACCATTTACAAAACTCAGACAGGACTGATACTACTTAGTGGCCAGAATAGTACTTAGCCGTGGAGCTCGAGGCAATTATGATAAATGAAACAAATCAGATAGAAAAAGACCAAAACTTCATGACTTCACTCATTTATGAAATATAAAGAAAAAAAGCAATGGAATGAAACAAATCCTTCAGACTGGTAACAGACAGGGATTGCCAGAGGGGGAAGAGGCCTGGTAAAGACCAGATAGTTAGTAGTGGGTGATGACCGGGCATTTGGCAGTGGGCATGGTGAGACTGTACACCTGAAGGCTATACAGCCTCGTCAACTAATGTCACCACAGTTTAAAACAACAATAAATGACCTGTCTTCCCCAGGGGCCCTCCTAGCACTGGGTGCCAGGTTCTGACCCCAGGATGGGCAGAAGCTGAAGGAAGCCTTCCTGTAGCCCAGCGGCTGTCGCTGAAGCCCTGTCAGCTTGTCTGGTCCAGGGCTCCCATTTCCCAGGGCCTCAATTTCGGTCTCAATCGGGTTCTTTTACTCTTCCTATTTCCCAGCCACTCATTCTTTCAGCCTGCACTTAACATGCGAAGCTTCTCCAGCCTCAGCTGCTCCAGACACGATGAAGTGTCAAACCACCTCTGTCTCTGATGATGACAACTTTCTTACACACCAAGAAACTGTTCTCTGAAATCCAACTATCAGAAATTCGAAGTCTTTTTTTTTAAAATATATAATAGTTTACTTTTACATCATTTTGTGCATTTTCCCATCTCATTTGCAATCCCCTTGGGCTTCCCATCACCTAATCACCCCTGTGCCATCACCATAGTCCAGTGCATTTCCCTCCCCCCACTGCTTTTGATCCGATTCCCCACTCCACCCCCACAAAATGTCTCTGGTATATAGCTGTTCATCATTATAATTATTTTCTCTCCTGTTCGGTTATATTTCTGTTATGAGAAACCATCCAGTATTTCAGAAATTCTAAGTCTTATAAAGAAAAATGAAGTCTCTGCTCTTGCCTGGAACAGCCAAGTCGCCGACACAGAGAAGCTGCCTCTACTTCTAAGCCGGGCAGGGCTGCAGTCGAGCAGTTTCCGGAGACAACACCGCACACCTGTGTGAGCCACACGGTCTCCAGGAAACTGCACCCTGGGGTCCCCTTTGTGGTCCAGACTGCATTGTGCCCATCATACCAGTAACCCACGTGACTTGGAGTCCATCAAAACACTGCTCTGTTCCAAACCTGCTGAAACTCCAATATCCCCAAATTCTAAAAGCGCTGTCTCTCTTCCTCCAGCGAAGACCCCAAGTTCCTCTACTGTGTGGTCCTGCTTCTTGCAATGGCTCCAATATCCTCAAGAGGTTTATGGTCCAAGTCCCCTTTCTTCCAACGTGTATCCCCTCCACTCCCTTGTCACTCTCAGCTGATGGTCTTTTCCCCCATTCTCCTGAAAAAACTCAAGTAATCTGAGAGCACTGCTCCAGGCCCCTCTCCCTTCTGTCCTGGGACTTGGCACAAACTGGCCTCATGCCCACTTCCCGTCCAGGCAGACTGCACCCCTACCTGCTCCCAACACTCCCAGCTCTCCTTTCCTCTCCTCCTGGTCACAACCATAGACCCTGACTTTTCCCATCATTTTTCACCCCACTTTCCCATACAGCGATTGCTCTATTGCTCTTTTCCCTTTTAGGGGAACTCCTTAAAAAACCTAAGCCTCCATCTCTTTCTCCTGCACTCATCTCTCTCAAGCTCAACTGCCACTCCACCCACACTGACCACATTAAGGTTGTCTGCAACTGTTAGATACAACAGTCCACCTGCAGCCCCGGTCTTGACCTCTCAGTAGCATGCGCTATGGTCCATCATTTTCTATTCCTGGAAACACCTTCTTGACGTGGTTCCCAGGGGCGTGCGCTCCAGAAGCTCCTCCCGGCTAACTGTCAGTCACCCAGCCTCACTAAGCCCTCACTAAGCCCTCTCTTCCCCATCCAGGGTCCAGAGCGACTCTCCATCACCTGCTGATGGCTCTGGGTGTAAAACTGCAATCCCACTGCGTCAGAACTCTAGCTGCTTCTTGACATCCCTATTTGGGAATTTAATGGACAACTAAAAAATATTTCTGCTTACGAGTAAAAAGACAAATGACTCAATTTTACAATGGGTGAAGGACTTGAACAGACATTTCTCCAAAGACAATATAAAAATAGTCAATATATACACATGAAAGATATGCCATATCAAAGGATTACAAGTCAGTCCCATGAGATCCTCT